GGACTTTTTACCACCACCAACTTTTGATAATGAGACAAATGATGAGATAAATGATGATGATCTAGATTATTTGATAAATAATAAATCAGCAATAAAATTATATGGAAAAAATATAATACATGGATTAATTTCTAAAAATCGAGAAGGAAAAATTGTACAATTGCTTGATAATTGTTATAAACATAGCTTGTCAATGCTTCAGAGTGATATTTGTAGCTCTATGATATTTTTAGAACAAATTACTTCTACGCTCATAGATTTGGAACAATATAACGTAAATCTAAGAGCAACAGAAGGTTTTTTTATCTAAAACTAATCTGCTGGTCTCTAACGATGATAAAATGATTATAAATAATACCTCTCAATTACTTCATCTTCAACATTGTGGATCTTATGTTCATTTATTTAGTACTTCACTTTTCGATTATACACTTTTTTGGGTCTTTGAAAAATATAACTTTTTAAAAAAGAAGTATCCACGAATTTATAAAGTTTTGAAAGTTCCTTATTCGGTTTATTCGTCCTATTTTACCATTTATACACACAAAACTGTAAAGTTAATGATTCCTCTATTGAAGTTTGCAACATATCCTGAAGAATATTCTTATTTTGAATTATTTTATTTAGAGGATAATTCCTTTACTTTACTTGATTCATCTGACTATTATAAATGGTGGAATATTAAAGCTCTTATTAACTTCAAGTGGAATACTTATGGAAGACAATATTATTGCGTAATTTGGGCAATATATACAATTTTTATGTGCTGTTTTTTAATAGCTTCAACAATTCCCGAAAACAATATTTCTTGGAAAAATCAATCAACTCTTTTAGTAATAACTATTGTCTTTGGACTTAGTCATTTTCTTTATGAAGTTCATCAATGTATTCATAATCCAATATCATATATTGCTAGTCCTTGGAATTGGTTTGGTATATTTAAAGCATATATTTGATTTTATATATTATATATAATACATTAAATATTAAATATAATTATTAAAATTTTTATTTTATAATTGTATTATAGATCTTGCTGCTATATTAACTCCAACAATAACTTCATTTATATGGTTACATGATAAAAAACCACAAATTTGGATTGTAACTATTTTTGCTTTTTTACTTGAGCTTAAATTTTTATTATTTTTCCGTGTTTTGGAAAATTTTGAAACATATTTTGCAATTATGATTGGAGTAGCGCAACAAATATTTTCTTTTCTTGTTGTCTTGGGCATTATGGTTGTGGCTTTTGCCCATTCTTTGCATCTTTTATTAAGACCTACTAGTGAATATGTTTATGATCAACCGAGTTATACTGATGATGTTAATAATCCTTGGAATCTTGTTCCATCATATAAATTTATTTTATCTAATGGTACTGTGGAAGGGTCAACACTTATTGAAACTCCTGATGAAAATACAAACTTGTTTTCGATGTTTAGTACTTCTTTATTAGCAGTTTACTTTATGTTAACAGGTATTATATAATAATAATTTTAGATAAATTATATCCAAAAGAATTAATTTACTTTATTTTTAAGGTGATTCAAGTCCCGTTTTTTCATGGGGATTAGCAAATAATTGGACTTTATCAATTTTATTAGCTATATTTTCATTTTTTACAACAATTTATTTATTGAATTTGTTTATTTCATTACTCGGAAATGCTATTGATACTACATATAATGAAGAATCTTTTTTGCATCTAAGAGGAGAGGTAAAAATTTTTATTTATATACTATTATCTAAAAAAAAATTATAAATATTAACATTATTGTATTATTAGATATTGGCTGAAATTGAACTTTTTTGGATGCTTCCTCATTAAAGAAGAAAGAAAAACTGGTTTGCAGATATTTTGTAATTATTTTATTTATTTATTTATTTATTCTGCAAATAGATAGCATTTTTATTTATGGGATTTTGCAGTTATCTAATATTTGATCTATCTTAAACCTGTACAAAATTTAAAATATAGCAAAATCAATTTGTGAATTCGTGCATAAAATTTAAAAATCTCAAATGCTAATTTTGGAATGCAAAATCTAATAAATATAAATGTAGTATAGTGCAATTAAGAATGAAGTGATTTAATAGCTGTGGCGCTATAGTGTTTAGAATATTAACGATGTCAATCTTGTTATCCTAGCATTAGCACACTATGGTGTCGGCATATGTGATCTGATTGATCAAAATTTTGTCTAAATCACCAATCAAATCATATTTCCAGATACATCAGTTATTTTGAACTTCGTATCTTATAACTATTAAATGTATGCTAATATAATTAAACATTTAGATATTATGAAGCTTCAGTTTACGAACTTAAAAAATATGTAAAAAAAATTGACAAAGAAAATGAGGAAATTGCACAAAATTTATTGCCTGCGATCAGAAAAATTGTTAAAACTAAATATTCAACTGTAAACTCTACTAAAGACTCAACTGATGAATCTATTAAGGTTTCTGATGAATCACAGAATAATGTACTTAAAGTTCAAATAGATGAAGCATTAAAAGATATAGTAAAAGCTCAAATTGATGAAACATTAAAAGATCCAATTGATAAATTTAACAAACTAATTGAATTAATTGAAAAAAAGGATCAGGATAGTACTCTTCTAGTTAATAATTATTTGTAAAAATATTATTTAATTAATTTTAAGCTTAGTAGTTATTTTTTGTATATCCATATCTAGTTCAAAAGAAACATTAAATCCAAATTATAGACTATACGTT